GTTGAAAAGGAATCTAGAAATTCTAGGTTCGTACGAATATTCAGATAAAAGAACCTATTCTCCTAGTATATTTTATATCTAAATAAGAGGAAAAGATTACATATCTAGCTGATTATTCTTCAAAAATTTCATTATTTTCCCACCATAATTGAAAGTAACAAAGTTTTATTATAATAGAGCTCTAGCGTACAAGGATTCATCATGTAACACATACAGAACTCTGCATGCAAGATATATCTGCCCATGCGAGAAAATGAAAAGAACTTTTTTGCTTCTCTTCTTTCATGTCTTCAGTGAATCATCATTCCAAATAGAAGTGAAAATAGAGCCTTAGCGTATAGCACATTTTAATGCGGTGGATATGTCGACATTCAGACGCATTTGTTATGATAGAACGAAAAAACATCCTTTTCTTTCCTTCCACATAGGCTACCCAATGTCACATTTGTATTCCTATATGCGAATAAAAAAGATGTGCTATACGCTAAGGCTCTAATATATCTACATGCTGTATCTACATGATGTATCTTTTTCTTGTGTCTTTATCTGCTTGATCTATGTGTCATCGATAAAGCAACAGATCTATGCTTCTAATGTGACTATATGTGGGCGTATGTGAGATAAGGAAAGAGCACTAAATGCTAGATATCTAATACTTAAAACTAACACATACACGTCATCTAGCCATTCAGAACGCCAAAAAAGGAAACCAAGTGTTTTTCATTAAAATACAAGACAGATAAAGAAACGCAGTTATGCGGCTGTGAGAATATAAAATATTTAACTTTTTCTTTATTTTATTCATAATAAGAGATCATCTTGGGAAAATCCTTCGCATCACATAAAAAAAGAAAAGTGACCTTTTCTGAGAAGAGACTCACGCTGTTGAAGAAAAATAACACTATATAAGCAAGGCAAAAGACATCTTGATCTCATCCATGCGCTTTGACTGATTTCTATTACCATGCACTTTTTTCATTTAGTAATTTAATTAAAAACGTTTTCTAAAAACGAAGAAGGGAACAACTTTTTACTATAAAGAACAAAAAAAGGAAAGATAAGGCGCAGCTAATGCAAACCTGAAGCAAAAACGATTTCTGCACACTACAGTATTCGATAGAGTTTTTTGAGCTGATCACGAACATGTAGTTTTCAATTTTTCGAAACGTTTTTTTCATGTGTTAAAACATCGAGAAAACATCGAGAACACTTCAAGACTCGAAAAAACGATGATGTTGACCAAAGTTAGATTTTTTTACTTGAGTTTTCCGTCGAAATATTCAGATTATTTTTTTTCTTATTCAGCGTTGAAAATTGAATTAAAATTAATATTCGATGCATTTCGGAGGTAAATGAAGAAAACTCATTTTTTCTAAATAAGAGGCGAAAAACTCGAAATTCTCAATTTTCTTCAACAGAACTCAACTTCTATGGAATAAAAATATCATATTTGGAAAATCAACCACTGATGTGTATTTTGAAGTTCTTAGTTGATGTTCGTTTTCATATCGAGTCGAAACAGATTTGCCTGGAGTTTTTTGTAGACGAGTTGAAGAAAAATCTTTTTTGCAAGTTACTGTCTTTTCCGTTATCGAGATAAGAGACATTATTTCCTAAAAACCGACTCTTATTTATTGCTCTGAAAGCAAGATTTTTTGGTGAAATTGATTACATAGCCAGCTGTAACTTTATACTGAAATTCCCTGGCAGCTGTAATTTTATAAAAGCGTCTTCATGAGTGGAGAGAATGCGCAAATCTTGCTAATTTTGGGCTTTTTCCATTTTTAACCATGTCGCACTTCTGATTTTTTCACGATTTCTACCAATGAAAACAAGACCTGAGCAGAGATATTTTTAAATTAGTCGTCCCTATGCTTATAAATAACTTGCAAAAAAGATTTTTCTTCAACTCGTGTGCAAAAAAACTCCAGCCAAATCTGTTTCGAGTTCATATGTTTGATGAAAGTCTCAATGATTTCAACGCGAAAATTCAAAAAAAATTAAAATACTCAGATAGGATAGAGATACACATCAGTGGATTGATTTTTTATCGTGATTCCAAGTACGATATTTTTATTCCATAGAAGTTGAGTTTGGCTGAAGAAAATTGGGAATTCCGAGGAGAATTGACGACTTCAGCCCTTAACACAAAAGCCTAGATAAGTTTACAAAATGATTTACTCTTATTTCTCATTGTTCCTTTCGGACGTCCACGGTGGACAGGCATTTACCTCCGAAATGCATCGAATATTAATTTTAATTCAATTTTCAACGCTGAATAAGAAAAAAAATAATCTGAATATTCCGACGGAAAACTCAAGTAAAAAAATCTAACTTTGGTCAACATTATCGTTTTTTCGAGTCCTGAAGTGTTTCGAGTTTTCTCGATGTTTTAACACATGAAAAAAACGTTTCGAAAAATTGAAAACTACATGTTCGTGATCAGCTCAAAAAACTCTATCGAATGCTGTAGTGTGCAGAAATCGTTTTTGCTTCAGGTTTGTATTAGCTGCACTTTAGAAACCAAAGTGTTAACTGGAATAAATTTCGATCTTGTTTACTTAATATTTTTAATTTTATTTATGGAACGATGTGACACATACACGCCTGTTAGTAAATGTTTTTTTAATGTTGTTTATTATTCACTAATTGACCTGGACAAAATGATCCAATACTTTATGATGAATTATCAGCAACTGTTCAAACATGTGAACGTTCACAAATTCCAATAAAAACGACATTATTTTATTGTTCTGATGTTCAATGTTTGTACTGTTGGCTGCATATGATTGTGTGTAAGATATAAAGTGTATCTGAATACAATCTGTTTAATATCGTCGGTGAATAAAATCAATGTGAATTGCTGCAATGCGAACGAAAATGACTGAAATACATAGCTAATTCTTAAGTAATAATCTGGTGTACCATGAAAAAAAGAGTAAATAAAAATTATAAAATAGGGGGTACCACAGAAGAGAAGAATACAGATGATGATAGTTATTCTTTTGATCATTATCATTTCTCGTTTTTCACGTGCAATCACTGTTTGAATAGACAGACCAAGAACTTGTTGTGTTTTACGTTCTTTGATATAATGGACTAGTCGAAAATAAATGAAGACGATAGCTGTTATGGGAATGGCGTAAACGATGAGCGCCAAGCATATGAGAACAAAAGGACGATCGAACTTTAAGTGGCAAATGTTGTCGGGAAGAATTAGCTGAAATTGACCGGTTAACCAAAAGACTAATGTATAACAAAGTCCTGTTATCCATTGAATGGAGATGATAGAGAGTTGAACGCTGTAAGCTTGCAAATATTGCTTGTTGTGGTGAATAACAATCAAATAACGGTAGGTAGCCTGAGAAAGCAATGACCAGAACAAAACAGTTTCCGTGGAAACGTTCAAATATGTAAAGAATGAACATGAATCAGTATATGGTTGCATTGAATAAACGCAGACGAGTAATATTGCTGAAGCAGCGAGCAACGCTGACAGAGTGGTATTTGTAGCAAGCATGTTTCTCACTGATAAACACTGACGCCGATGAATGATAATAGTCAGAAGAAATAGCAGGCACATCAAAATAGTCACAATGCAAAATAAAATACTTAAACTCGACAGTACACTGGCCCACATCTGCGATGTATAGTTTTATCTCTTCGTACATTCTATACAAATATCTCTGCTTAATAACATCTTTCTGATGAAGTGGTTATTATTTTAAATGTTTATTGTACTGGAAAAAACAACTCAATTTGTAACAGCAGTCAATTAAAGCAACTTCTGCTAATTGTTCCATTCTTTCTGCCGTAACAGGAACAACATTTTTTCTCCTCTTTCATTAGCATTAACATTTCCGTTATGGCTTTTTTTCTTTTTTATTGATAATTCTATATCTGATAGAGAATATGAATGAGGCAAAAATAGTGATGTTACTATTATTGTGTCAGCTTACTCAGAACGAACGGATTGTTAGTGGAACAAATTACACCGTTATTTAGGTGATTATATCTGCGTTACAGTTTTCTCTCACTGCCCCGTCCTGTAATAAAAAAACAACAACTAAAAGCCAGGGTCTAACTGAAATTTTGGTCGTACAGTATGGATGAGGATCCGGATCAGCATATATATCCTGATCGGGATATGGATCCCTTGTTGTTAGATCATTTTAAGATTTTCGTTTAATAGCCCACGCACTTTGGTTTTACGTTTTATGGATTCTGGATTCGTCTAATAGTGATGAAGCAAAAAATTTTCTCCAAAACGCTTATAATTTTCGTTCAAACACTTCGGACGCTTTTTTACTTACAGTCCAATGTAGATCTTGAAAATGACGTAACTGACTGTTATAAATGCGGTATATTGTTTATTCAGAGTTAAAAATAAGATGAAAAGTCTTTAGCTATTTGTCACATATGTTTCGAAATCTATTGCGACTTACGAGGGAACTGCCCCAAGTGTCCGCTCGCTTTGGTTTTCTAGAAAACCAGGCCTTCGAAGGCCTAGCAGCAAAAACCATTGTCATATTCGGAATCAGCATAGTCGATAACCTATTCTCCACTAGATTTCAACAAAAGAGCGAGCGGACACTTGGGGCAGTTCCCTCGTTAGTCTCGGAGAGCAAAAGCATGGTCAAGCTCAAGCGTGTCATGCCTTGTGATTCCGCTGTCTATGCTTTGGAAGCATCGCAGATGTAATCTGTTTGTTAGTATTTTTAGTGTATTCTTCGTTCGTGGTATATACCACTCTTTTTCTGAAGAGCGAAGTCGAAAACTCACCTTAGAAAAAGACAAATTCTTGATTTCCCGGGAACTATAAGAGATGGAACCACGATTTTTTCAGGGGATATAGTACTCAATGTCTACTATATCATGACATACAAATATTGCATTGCCATCCATCACATTGCTATAAGAACTAAACGGAGGTCTGACGCGCATTTTGTGACGTACAGTTCTCCGTGCTTTCTACCTACAATGAAGTAGGACTGGTTGCAATGGGTAGTATTCACAGGTACTATTTCGAACCAATAATTATATTTCATTAACCTGTGACTTTTGGTCGGATAGACGGCTTCAGTCATATCTTGTAATTACAGGACATTTTATTGATGCTAATTTTAAACTAACATCTAAAATTATTTGTTTTACTCAGTTTCGACATCGACATATGTCGAAAACGATGGCGAAAACTATTATGGAAAAACTGAAAAATCTCGACGTCTATGAAAAAATCACCAGTATAACGTGCGATAACGCCTCGAACATGGTTAAAATGTTTGGTTTTCACTACGTGATGGTGTAACACGTCTCGGCTGTATAGCTCACAAATTACATTTAGTAATTTGTAATGCATTATATTTGTGGACTAAACCACAGAAACAATGATCACAACCCACGAAAACAACGACGACGACTGCTAGTACTAATAGTGCACGACGAACTACTACAGATAATACTTTTTCTGCCTTAACTGCTGCAATTTCTGGACCATCGGTAACTGTTGATGGTAGTGATTATTCGGACGGAGAAGATAACGAACAACATGCTGACATTGACATGGAAAATTTACTTTTAGATGACGATAGCATTGATCTAAGCGACGGTACATCACCATTGAACAATCGTACGTCTCCAGATCGAGATGATGAGCTTTCGGATACCGAAGAGAGTGGAGGATATAATGAAATACAGTCAGATGACGTCAATGATCCATCTGTTACAGAAGATAACTGAGCAATCGATGTGCACGTCGACGAAATTAATATTTCCGAAGACTATCAACGATGTATAGCAGTTTTGATGAGAAAAATTCGCGGGGTGATAAAGATGATTAAAAAATCTTTCATCTTAACTGCTTACGTTGATAAAAAACTAAAACACGGAATTAAACGTAGTCTCAGCGTCGACGTATGCACAAGATGGAATTCTACCAGCTATATGCTGAATACGTTCTTAATTTTTAAACCAGTAATCGTTAACTTACATAGTGAAAAGTATAATTTAAAATTAAAAACTGATCAGCGACTTCGTTCAGCTGGATATGATCTGTCAGCTAACGATTGGAATAAACTATCTATCGTTCAGTCAGTTCTGAAAATCTTCGTCGCTGCCACAACAACTATGTCCGCTTCATCCTATCCAACAGTCGGAATCGGATTGTTTTTTATTCGTCGTATTAAAGCACATTTGGAACTTTCATCTACAGATACGCCGATGATTAAAAGTTTAAAACAACAATTACTCAGTCAAATGACTTATTATTTCGAAAGTGATCCGGAACAAGTCGATGCGTTTAAACTAAGAGCATGGTTCGATCCGATAGCTCTTGATGTAGTGACGACGAAAGAAAAAGTAGCCTTAGAACGAGACATAAAAAGTATTTCGAAAATCTATCGGCTAACGCCGATACAGTTCCACCACCAATTACGACTACAGCTAATTAATAATGCTACAACTAATACTAGTCCATCGTCGTCGCTTACACAAGGCAGTACGTCATCTCGAAAACCTAAAGATTCGATGAAACGGTTTTTAAGACTAACGGGACAAGAAAATTCATCGGAATCAAAACAGAAACCTACTTCCATCGCAGGTGAAATAGCCTTATACAGTAGTATGGCACAGAAAAAAAATGCTATTGCGTTAAAATCGGAACCGCTAAGCTTCTGGTCGAAACAAGGAGACGAGTTGCCATTACTTAAAGAATTAGCATCGAAATACTTAACAACTCCTGAAATCAGTGTTCCCTCAGAATCTGCGTTTTCGGTTGCCGATTTTGTTGGAAGAAAAGAGAGAGCTCGTTTGACAGCAAAAACTCTCTCATATTTAGTGTTTCTTAAAGATTTAATAGTTTCTCTTTTTGATTTAGATTTAATAGCTAAAAGATTTAAGAATAGATTTTTGATTTAATAGTTTCTCGTTTTTTTAATTTTATTGTTATTGCTGTTGACAAGCCGATAAAGGGCGATTATGTTTTCCTTCGGTCCAGGAGACATTGATTTGTGTGAGGATCTAAAAAAGCTTAAAAAAACCCTCTTTCACTAATATCGTTACTGGTGAGTTGGTTCACCAACTGGTTTCGGTAGAAGAGAGGATCCAAAAAAAATAAAAACATTTTAGAAAACAAAAAAAGCACAAGGTTTAAAAACGCATCTTTTCTAAGGACAAAGTCTCTCCCTTCCTCAAAAGCCTAATTGACGTTTGTAAATCTATTTCATTAATTTAACTGATGCGATGGGGTCAGGCTATCAAGTTTCAACGCATCCCAAAGTCGTGCAGTTCATCCTCCACTCACCCACAACTCCTCATTGCAATAAAAATGCAGGCTTCAGACTTACCAAAACCGTTTTCTCTTGAAAACTTTACCATGTTTTCTGTCTGCTACACAATTATTATAATCAATTACCTACAATCAAAGACAGCGTCTTTACATTTCTTACCTATTGCAGAAGAGCTGATGTTTCAATGCACTTGCATAGCATATGAAACACTATAGCATACGATAGCAGTTAATGAGAGACAATCAAAGACTAGAGATTTAATATCAACATTATTGCAGATACGTTATGCTGGTCATCAAACTGTCTACTTGCACAACGTTCAACTCGATCGAAACCTAATCCGTTACATATGATCGATGGTGTCATTTTGTATTATGTTTCTTAAGGCGAACGTGCACGGGTGGAAGAACTTGCTATTACTTGTCACTACCATTGACTTATAGTTTTAGAAAAAACTTAATAGCACATATAGTTTAACTTGAAAGACGGTCGATGTACGTAATCTTACATTGGCGAAAGTGCATAAGATCGCTACTGCACTTTTCCTTGACCGCTTAAAATCGAAAACCTTTTCTTTTACGCCGAAATGTATCAGCATTCATTTTCTTTTTGATTGAATGACACGCATCGCTTGTGTCAACTGTTATAACAGGTGCCTGTTTCTGTTGTGAACTGTTACTGCTACGTACTGTTTCTGTCAACAGCAACAGGTGCATGCCTACTCAGTTTTTCGACTAATAATGGTTTCGTATAGAGAAACAAACTACCAGTATTCAATTCCAGGCTAAACCGAATACATTTATTCACTAAAATCCTGTCAATTGCTCTCCTACAATTAGGCATGCACCTGTTGCTGTTAACAGAAACAGTTCTATCTATATATATATATATAAGTATTATATGTTATATATAGATAGACAGTAATTAAGCACTTTCCAGACAGTCGTAGGGTAGCCAAAAGATTACTACTTTCTTCTGTCACAAAAGATCAGCTGCTCTAACTGTAACTGTTACAGTTAAACAGGTGTCTGTTTCTGTTGTCAACTGATACTGTTACGAACTGTTTCTGTCACAACCCGTTTCTGTTGTGAACTGTTTCTGTTACGAATGTTCCTGTGATAACTGTTTTTGTTGTATCTGTTATAACAGCAACAAGTGCATGCCTACCAATAATATCCCAATCTACAACCTCAAAACGAGATCTACAAGATGGGTAAACGCTGCTTTTCTCAGCTTTATACTCGTTTCTCTCACGTAATTTGAATGTTTACATTTCGGAAAGCTTGGAAGAGGACTGAACGAAAAGTCCAAAAATATTTGTGCATAAGTAATTTTATGTGCTCTATCTAATGATGCTAAAATTGAAGCTGGGAATTTTGTAGTTGAGTTGCAAAACGATTTTTTGTCTTGATTAACAATTTCTAAAATCTCGTATATATTCGGTTGTGCATGTTTCCGAAATGTAAACATTCAATCATATCAAAATTTTTTGATGGTTTTTTTCTAGAGAAGCGGTTTTTGAGATTTTTACATATTCGGAATCAGCACGATGAGTTACGTTGACGAATTACGTAATCTCGTCTGCGTCCCGACATTTTTTGGACCCGGATTCTCCACTGTGAGTTTTCACGGTATATTACACTATATTCAATCGTAGACACCAACGATGCCGCTTTTTCTTTTATGAACGCTTCCCTATTCTCTTTTATGTTTCATTTTCCTTTGCTTTGATGACTTTTTCTTCCTATGCGCACTATAAAGCGAGATATAAAATAAGAAATGCAGAAAAGACTAAATTTTATCGTTTTATCCAAAAGAAAGATTGTACTCACTACGAAATTAGTGTATATTCTGGCAACTTCCCAGATTAAAAAGTTAACAAATTTGAAGGTATCCCTCTCCAGTTTTTCTGGCAGTTTGTAGTACACAACTTGTATTCTATACCGTGCTATTTTTCAGAAAAAGGAATATCACACCTGAACGTATGAAAACGTAGGTATCTACGTCAGTATAAAAGCCAAATGAGTTTTCAGAGAATTTTCTGAGCCACCATGACTTTCCGGCTTTCTCTTCGGGTCTTGAGAAATAACCTTTGTAAAACAGAAATGGAAACAGTTAAAAGGTTGCTATTATCCATAGCCAGTATCTTCCTGAAACACATCTCTTAATATCCAAAGAATAAGAGTATCAAATGATGAATAATAACTACTCATCAATTAGGGTTATATTCATCACTGCGATTATATAATGAACCATCCATATCTATATAATTCACGTATTAGTTCAGTTAGATGAAACTTTGATGTTTTTTTCCTTTTATGCACACTATACTGTCTAAAAAAAAAAGGTATATTTTCTTTTCTGGAAAATGTAGCAATATATAGTACAATTTGTGTACATCAGATTAGGCATTTAGGAAATTTGCTCGAATGAAATTTCCTCGACAGCGATATTCTTGAAAATAGTTTCCTCGAATGTAGTTTCCTCGAATGGAAACCGCCTCGAATTTGCCAAACTGAAATTATCAGTACTATTTGCAGTGTATCGAACCTCCTTAAATTTTCGGTTATACATGTTTGTCTCGGTTTATAAGAGGAAATAAGACTATAACTCATTTTAAAAGTCACTTTCATACATTGATAAATTGATACAAAGACGAGAAATAAGTAATGATAAGAGATGATCAAAAGGAAAACAGATGACAGAATAGCCAGAATTACAAAAAACTACAATAAAAAAAGAAATCAACAAACAGACCGCATGATAATCACACCTTAGACAATGCGATGCATAAACTTCTGTGGACATTTCTAGAAAATTAAAAACAGAAGAAAGTTCTTTTCAATTGGCTCTGGCAGCTATAAATGCCGGCCAAGAAGCGAAAGTTCAACAGAAACTTTATGCAGATCATAATTAACGTTTAATAAATCTAATTTAATATCCTCATTCGAGTATACAACAAATAGCTGCTATAGCTCATAATATCAATTTATAAATTTTATATTTCAAATAAAGCAGGTTCACTGATAGATAACTGTGATAGGTTCAGTTGTCTTATCTGTAGCTGAAGTAATTTTTTGTGTTCATCTTTAATGTTTCTCTTGTTCTATACACTGCAAATAATATTGATAATTTTTGTTTGAAAAATTCGAGGAGGTTTCCATTCGAGGAAACTTCCCCCATTCCAAATTAGTGTAAGAAGGGGAAAGGGATCTTCTCTAATTATTCCAGTTTTAAATAGCGAAGTGCGCAGAATACAGTATTAATTTACAGTTAAGACACATTCGATAATTCATTCTATTTCTAAGTTCGTTCGTTAACGAGAAAAGGTGTTGTGTGGTCATAAACTGGAGATTCCTTGGCGAGTCTGCACCAAGTGGCGGTGGAGATACAGCAGCTTTTCACCGGAGCGCGAACCACGTTCGCGACGGGAATGAAGAAAGAAAGTGAACTTAAGTTATTTATTGATGCTAAACGCACCTTTTTTGACTTCATGTGCTTGAGTAACATGAGATATGCGCATACCGTTTATGTTTTTCTTAGAATCACGTTGTTCAATCAGTATCCAGATGCATACTTTTTTCTTTCGATATGAAATTTAGACCATTCACACAGCACGCATGTTCGGAATATGTCTACATATTCTCATTTGAACTAGACATCTGACAAGAAAAATGGTGACAGTTGTGTATAAACATTTCTTGTTTCTTAAAGTTGTATGAAGATGATTTCTACTCGCAGATTCTAAGTGCTTTATTCCGATAGTTTTCGTCACTATAACATTAAAAAAGCTATTTTCATGATTAGCACCTAAAAGTGCGTAATCAGCAATTTGATACAGAGAGTGAAAATTCAAGAATACAAATATCTTTCACTTGTTTTGTCACGAAACCAAACTGCCTTTCTCTTAGCCGGTTCTGGATACACCTGAAGACAGACTGACAACTTTGGTTTGGCTTGCGTACTGTGCAAAATCTGAAAATAAACAATGCACAAAAGTGAGAAAGTTGCATCTGAAAGTTGACTTTATCCTAATTGTGAATATCCTCGGTGTAAGATCACTTTGGCGTTAGTGGCTTGTAGCGAAGAACTCTTCGGTCGTGTTTGACGCACAGATAATTGGATGTCAGACTATACCGCTTCATTCACCGAATGCTACCTTGGATCTAGCAACAAACTGATTTTGGAGATATCAGTAGATACACATTCTCTGTCAGTCCGGCATGAATGTTTTCGCCATACCCAAGCATGAAATTTCATAAGAAATAAGCTAGCTACACTTACTGAAGAATAGTTTCATAATGATTGTAGTCGACACGGATTATGACAAATACTCAGCCGAGGTAGAATGTAAAAATCTTTGTTCTCGAAGCCCACTATTTTCACAGTTGAAACTAGTAGTTTCAAACTGCATGAAATTCTGACATAAGTTCCTATCTTTCTGCATAGCATATGGTTTTTAGAGAAAAGAGCATATTCATCCTTCAACAGCAAAATAGTTCTACGAAAAGGCAGCGCCTGTACTGAAAATACACCCGCATATATAAAGCTGGCTACTTTTCGAATTTCTCTCCATTTTGGTTTAAAGAGCAAAGTGCGCCAAGTACTACTATTCACATCTACACTATG